CTGATTCTTTTTGTATTTTTTAAATTTTCAAAATCACTACGATGATAAACATTTTCACAGATCAAGCAAACCACAGTTGAAACTTTTGTTTTCGGGTGACATTTATAATAAAAACCAGGACTGACGCCGGGAGATTCCTTGGATTTTGACAAAGTGAGTTCAAAATAAAGCGCGATGTTAATGGATATCAATTTTATTCCAACGAGGTAACACAAGTAAAGAAATCAGTATGACAGTTGTGTATCGCGTAACGATAACAATACTTTCGGTTCTGTGTATCGCCACAGTGCTTCGCCTCGAGCGACCAGGTTGGGGAGCGAAAGTAACGTGTCTGGTTCGTGGGCCCGGGTACGTCCTATAGCCTGCGCTGGAGTGTTCGTCTGATTCTGGTGTTGTCGCGGCTTCGTTCTCGATGAAGGCGGGTTTGAGCCTGTCGATCAAGATTTCCGTCGGTGTGCCGTTGACGTTAACCCTGAAACAGAATTCATTTGTTTTTCGGATTACTTCGAACGGTCCTTCGTACGGCTGCTTTAGCGGTTTTTTCACACGGTCGACTCGTACGAAAACGTGGGTACAATCGTGTAGAGCCTTGTGAGTGAAAATCTTCGGCTTATGGTGGTGCGCCGTCGGTTTTGGTCTGAGCTTCCTCATGGATTGGCGGAGATGTTCGAGGAAGAAATTTGGGTCCGGTAACGGTTCGTCCTCCATAAAGTATTCGCCTGGGAGTCGAAGAGTTGTGCCGTAGGTCATCTCCGCAGCTGAGGCTTTGATGTCGTCTTTGTAGCTGGTGCGTAAGCCAAGCAAAACAACTGGCAACACATTCACCCAGTTGGATGTTTCGTGTGCTTTTATTGCTGCTTTGAGAGTCCTGTGCCATCTCTCGACCAATCCGTTTCCCACTGGGTGGTAGCTGGTTGTTCTGACTGTTTTGCAACCAATCATCGTCGTCATTGCGTCGAACAGTTGGGAGTCGAACTGCGTTCCTATGTCGTGTGTTATTTTTCCAGGTGCGCCGTATCGAGCAACCCAGGTCTGAAAGAACGCGTCGACGACGGTGTCCGCTGTTATGTCCTTGATCGGCGTTGCCTCTGGCCATCGTGTGAAACGATCGATCATCGTTAGGCAGTACCTGTATCCTCGTGAGGGTGGCATTGGCCCTATGATGTCCATGTTCACGTGTTGGAAGCGTTCGTCTGGAACGGCGATGTGGACTGGTGTTCGGTGGACGTGTCTGCCGATTTTTGATCGTTGTCATGGCAGGCAGGTGTGGGCCCAGTGCGCGATCTGTTTGTTCATGCCGGGCCAGACGAATTTGCCTGCGATGACCTTGCGAGTGGCGCGGCCGTTGCTGTGCCAGGTGTTGTGCACCACGTCGAAGATTCCTTTCCTCAACGGTTGCGGAATGTAAGGCCGGATGGTTTCAGCGGACACGTCGCAGTAGAAGGTGGTATCCGTGCTGTCGACTCTCAGTTGTTTGAGTACCAGGGACCTAGGTTCTCGGATTAGCTCCTGGAGTTCCTGGTCCTGGCACTGCTCGCGACAGATCTCTTCAGTCGTGATGATGGTTGGCATCTAGACGGCGTTGACTCTGGATAGAGCGTCGGCTACGTCGTTCTCGATATTTGTGGTGTGTTGTCCGATATAATCCAAGTGGCGCTGCTGTCTGGGCGATGCTTTTTCGGGCTTCTGGTCGAAGGCGTAGGTAATCGGCTTGTGGTCCGTGTAGACTACCGTTTCCGTACCTACAATTATGTGCTCGAAGAATTTGATGGCGGTATAAATGGTAAGTGTAAACGGAGTTCCCTGTCGTAGGTGCTGTAGCGGGTCTGCGTTGGCAAGAACTTCCTGGAAAAGAAACCGAGTGGTTGTCGTTGACCATTTATCACCTGTTCAAGAACGGCGCCCACAGCCGTGTTGAATGCGTCGATGACGAGTACCAGCTTGGCGTGTTCAGCGGGGTGTGCGAGGAGCGTGGCTTCGGCTAGTTGATTTTTGCATTCGGCGAATGCCGCATCGGTCGCTGGGGTTCATTAGATAAGCCGTTTGTCCTTCTTCTTCGCGCCAGCGGTGATCCTGTGCAGGCACGCCTGCGGCTCGGCTGCGTGGGGGGTGAATCTTCTGTAAAAATTCAACATTCCCAAGAATCTCCGGAGCTCCGCGATGTTGCCCTGCTTCGGAAACTCTTGGATGGCAGTTACATGTTGTGGCAATGGTTTGATGCCGTGAGCGTCTACTTGGTGCCCTAGATACTTTACTATTGGTTTACCCCGTGTGCATTTGATTGTTTTCAGGGTGAGACCGTAGAGTTTAACGCGTTCCCGCAGGATGTCCAGGTATTTGCGATGTTCTGCTTCGTCCTAGGATGCCACGATTATGTCGTCGATGTAGCAGAAAACGAAATCAACCCCTAAGAGCGGTATCCATGAACCATTAAAATGACTGTCCGGCATTTTGAAGACCAAAAGGCATCACGTTGAATTCGTACAAGCCGAAAGGTGTAATTATGGCAGTTTTCTCTCGGTCCTCATTGCTCATTGGGATGTTAAAATATGCTCGTTTCAGCTCCAGTGTCGAGAAGACGGTGCATCCGTGGAGCTTGCTGGCGAAGTCCTGAATGTTTGGAACGGTTATCGCATTGAGTGATCGATAATCATCGCATAGTCTCCAGCTGCCGCCCTTCTTTTTTCGTAGGAGGATTGCGCTGGCGTATGGGCTACCGGAGGGATTTAGGACCCCTTCGGCTATCCAGACTCGGATGATCTCTTCGGCGGCTTTGTATCTCGCGGGTGGCGATGTAGTGTCGAACGTGGTGCTTGGGCTCCCTGAACCTCACAGGTCGTGTGACCTCAACGTGCTTGCGGAGGATGTCGTGGTATTCTGCGGAGATGTCGATGGTACTGAGCGTCGGGGTATCCGTGACGGTTACCTTTCCAGTCGTCGCCAAGTGGGTCACGCTGTCCGTGAGGCATTTGTTCCGGATGTCCACTAGGAGACCATATTCGTAGAGAAAGTCGTTTCCGATGATCGACTGGGATACGTCTGCCACTACGAAAGTCCACTCGAGTGGTCGACGTAGACTGAAATCGACCGTGAGCCTTTGTTCTCCGAACGTCGAGATGTGGGTCTTGTTAGCGGCGTAGAGTACCCTGCTGGTGCTCTTATTTAGGCCGGCGTATTGCTTTGGTAGCGTGGATACGTCAGCGCCCGTGTCGATCAGGAAACTGGTGTTCGTCTTGCGGTCGGTCACGAGGCGTTTTGGTTTGGGGACGTCTCCAGCGGCTGCTTCGATGCACGCCGAATTCGTTAGTTCCCTGCGGCTTCCAAGCGCAGGGTGTCCTGCAATGGTACGCCTCTTTACCAAACGTCTCTGGTTCGTCTGTTTCAGAATTTGCTCCATGCCTTGGTTTGCTGACGCTGCGTCCTCGAGAATCGCCCTTTTTCGAAACCTCAAAGTCGCTGCGTAGCTGGTTGATTGCCAGCATGATCTGTCCGAGGTCGTAGGACTCCGGTAAAGTGGTCCTTGGTAGATCTGGAGAGACGGACATCGAGCGATGCGCCACGTGAATTGCCGCTAATGATGGACTAATCGTGTCCATGATACGGTTCGCTATCTTAGCCACGTCGGTCAGGTTGGTGTTCTTGCTCACAGCCATGATGTATTGTACTTGCTCAGGGAGTTGCTCCAAGAAGAGTGGTCTCAGGATGGCGTCGTCACATCTTCCGCCAACCATGTTTCGCATTTTCTGGATGTACACGCTTGGTTTCGTGTCTCCCATCGGTTGGCCCCGGAGAAATTTCTTCATCCTTGTTTCCGCGGAGTCTGCAAGTATGTTGATCAAACATGATGTCGCCCACGAGGTCGATGAGGTCCGGCTCCAAGGTGTTGATCACGTGCCTGTACTTCGTCGTATCCGAGGTTATCTTGAGTAGGAATGTGTTCTCTACGACGCTGAATTACCTGGCTGGGTTTTGCCACCACAGCTGTTGTGGAAGTTTGACGACGTTCATCGCGGCCACGTGGTTGTCGTTGGCTTGCTGTTCGTTGGAGGTGTTGGACTTTTCGTCGTCTGGCATGCTGAAGAAGTTGTCGTTAAAAGCGAAGTCAGCGTAGTCGTTCGTGGCGTGCAGGTCCGTTTTTTTTCGAAATCTGTAAAACACCGAAAACTGAGTTTAGTGGAAAAAAAATATCCCGCGGTTCCGTTCCGCGATCACGTCGGAGTCACCAAATTTATGGATTTTGACAAAGCGAGTTCAAAATAAAGCGCGATGTTAATGGATAACAATTTTATTCCGACGAGATAACACAAGTAAAGGAATCAGTATGACAGTTGTGTATCGCGTAACCATAACAATACTTCCGGTTCTGTGTGTATCGCCACAGTTCCCTGTCTCCCGGCGCCATCTCGTTTTTTTTTAATACTTAAATATATTTCTATTTTATTACGGTTTTCAATGTTCTGAAATATCGATTACTTTTGTTATAATGATCACAGTTTCTATTTTAGTTTTCCGCTTTTTGTTATTATTCATTCCTCGAGAAGATGAATAATTTTGGTGTAAGTGTTAATGTAATAATTGTACTCACGTTTTAAAATCCTCCCACTGCTCCTAATCCCTTAGTGAAACATTTCTTCAGGAATTGTCCAATCGAAGGTGAAGGACTCATCAGGTGAGCAAATTGGTGTCCCAGGGGTCGGAAGTTTTTCCAAGGTATTAGTTCCTGAGTAGATAGAGACGTCGCAGAAGTTGAAATTCTGAGGTGTATGGGATGAAATTCGTAGATTTCCACCCACTATCCTGTTCGCAGCGCCAGTTAAAGCGTATGTTGTCTGAATAGAATTTTAAAAACACTGTTTTAACAAATTTATTTGGTTCGGTTTTCAGGAACCTTTATTACACTTGATATTATAACTATTATACGCAATGATGGAAAACGAATAAACTAACATAGGTTTGACCTATAGAGTGGACTGTTGAATGAATGATTTTTTTTATGTTTTCGTGGGGAAATCTTCAAAGGACACCCAATCGTCCGTACTACTGAGGATTCCCGAGGAAGAAGTCCTCGGATCTACCAACTAAAGCCCCTCTACCTCAGGCCGTTCTAGGGCCACATAGATCTTCTTCGTTTTGTATTGATTTGTGTAGGGATTGGGGTAATTGGGATGCTGTTGTAAAGTGTGTTGGACGGAAAGTGTTGGTCTAATCTTGCGACTTTGCGTAAAATGCGTCGTTCGATTGCAAGAATCCTGTGTTACAAGTTTTAATACGCCCGTTTATTAACGAAATTAGGTTAGCGCGTTTCCGTACTTCGGCAGGAGGATCGACGCACTCTACCAGTGCAGTCTTTGAAGGAGTGAGGGTTTTGGGATCAAGTCGTTTAGGACATTTGCTGTCAAAGGCTAGGTGTTTGCCTTTACAGTTGGTGCAGGAAGGAGAGGACATACACGTGGAAGGATCGTGCATTAAACCGTAGCGGTAACAGAGCGGTTGCTGGTGACAGGAAGAAGTGTTGTGGCCAAATGTGAAGCATTTGCCATACTAAAGCGGCTGAGGGCCGGAAGATTGTGACGGTTCGCAGCGATAGTTCCTAGAGAACATCGTAAAGCCTTTATAAAGCAGGGTGTCATGGGCAGTTAGAAATAATACGGAACAGAAAGGTGTCTTGTTCGGTTTGCCTCGACATACTGCGCCAGGCGTTTTGGCTTAGATGTTTTGATGCTTTTAACTTAAGCATTGCTAACTTTTTCTCGTGTGCTTGATTGAAATGTATCTTGAAAATAAATAACTAAAACTGTGAACTGCTTTTGTATTAATTTACTATTTACACCTTTAACAAACCACAATTACTAATTCTAACGGCTATCTTTATTTTAAGTGATTGATTTGACCTCTCAACAGGAACTGTTCTAAAACTTATTTTTCTCAACTTGCCACTCTCGTTCGGTCTTAAAACTGCTAATAGATGTTTGCCTTTTTGGCGGCAGTTTTTGGGTCTCCTTGGAAGGTAACAATATCGACACTCAACGTCACTCCGACACGATTTATTACCAACCCCTCAATAAATAGCAAAATGCCGTTGTTTAACAAGTACATATTGAGAAGGCGGTCTCCGAATCGGGGAAAATGCTTTATTGGGTACTAAGGAGATGCACAAAATTCAAGGTTTAGTATTATTATATCAATAATTTGTTCAATATAAATTGATGTATGCTCTCCCTCGAAACAAATACACAAAAAAAAATTGAAACCATTCAACACAGACTTCTCAGGTACATGTGCTATAAGTGTAGTTCTCCAATATCTACGTTCAATAATGATTACTCGGAGATGGCTGACAGGTTGAATCTTCCATCACTCCGAAACTACCACAATGAGGTTTACTGTTATAATGTCCTGCCTGGACTTGTAGACTCTCCTTTTCTACTGGGTAAATTATCCATACGTGATCCAGGACGCATTCTGAGAGCAGAAACAAATCAGTATTATTTCTACCAAACGCTGAATGGAAACAGTCCTGTTGACAGAATGTTAATTGTTTCTAATGAACTATCGGATCATGTAGATTGGCACTGTATAACTGCGAGTTTCAAAACAATTGCATCTGATGTCATACGAAAATTCAAAAACTTTTTATTAAACGACCCTGCGCTATCCTCTGCTTTATATACCTACTACTCCTTCCATGCTCACTTATTTTAGATACCTAGGAAGTCAGGTAAGTGAGGATGGAAGGAGTAGTAGGGATATAAAGCAGAGGATAGCGCAGGGTCGTGTCGCCTTTAATAAAAAGAAGTCACTTCTATGCTCGCGAACAGTTAATTTAGAAATTCGAAAAAGGTTGTTAAAGGT